TGGGGGACAGTATAGAGCCCTGTGGAACCCCACAAGTCAAAGGCTGTGGCGTTGAACAGGTGTCCCCCAATATCACCTTCTGGGAGCGGCCTTCCAGAAATGACCGGAGCCACTGCAGAACAGTGCCCCCGAGGCCCATTTCCGCAAAACGCCCCAGAAGGATACCGTGGTCGACGGTATCGAAGGCCGCTGAGAGGTCCAGGAGCACCAACAGGGACACACTCCCCCTGTCTAGCTCCCGGCGCAGATCATCCACTAAGGCGACCAAGACCGTTGTAAAGATCCCTTACCTTGCCAGCCAGGGTGGCAGGGCCCAGGAAGAGACAGGCTAGGTAGTTTCAGTTAGAAGGCCTGGCAGAGAGCTGCTGGAGCCATCTTAGTTTAGGGAAAGAGCTCCAGTTCAGAGAAGGGGGAGTGGCCGAGGCCTGTGCCAGCCCAGCAACAGCCAGGATTGGTTTAGGGAAGAGGGGCGGAGTTAGTCAGTTGGAGGGAAAGAGAAGAGATAGTTTTGACAGTTCAGTTTTTAGTTCAGCTGAGTTCTGAGTAGAGTGAAAGCAGTTTAGTTCTGGAGAGAGATTAGAGTAGGAGTTGGATTGTTTAGGAGTCTCTGTGAAGAAAAGGCAGTTTGCCTGTAGTTTGCACAGCACAGTAGGCTGTGGCAGACTGAGTTACAGCTATTTTGGGAAAGAAAATAGCTGGGGGTTTTATGTTTAAGAAATTGTAACTAAGAAAAGAACATTCTCTCAAGTAACCAATACGCTTATAAGAAACAAGAACACTTTTATCTGTAACCATCAAGCCTCTGAACCTGCATATCACTTGTAAATCTATAATTTGTAAACAATAAACTCTTTCTTGTTATTTTTAAAAGTCAAGCCTGAGTCAAGTGCCATTTTTGGTTTTGAATCCTTTTCCTTATTGAATCAACCTCTTCTGTTTCCCCTCACAGAAAGCCCTTGATAACACACAGCCTTTGGTGGAATAAAAAGCCTTTTAATAATTTAAACAGCCTTTTTAACATTTTAAAAAATAGCTAGAGGGTTCGTGATTTCTTTAGTTTTGGTGGCAGCGAAAGTTTTACATAACGTGACATCCCCTCAAGCACTATTAGAACCAAGGTGGTGTGAATTCCTTATTTAAGGAAGGACGGTGGTGGGATTCGTTTGACCCCCTGCCCAGACGCCTCTTCTGAGTTATTATAATTGGTGGCAGCGGTGGGATTTCTTTGATTGTTTCCCCCCTGCCTTGATAAGCCTCGAAGACCCTTATAACCGTCTCAGTTCCATGTCCCGGCCTGAAACCAGACTGTGCCGGATCCAGATAATCCGTGTCTCTCAAGAATACCTGGAGTTGTGAGGCCACCACGCTTTCCATGACTTTGCCCAAAAAGGGGAGATTGGAAACAGGCCGAAAGTTGTCAAATTTAGTGGGGTCCAGTGATGGTTTCTTCAACAGCGGTTTTATAATAGCTTGTTTTAAGCTTGCTGGAATTTCGCCTTCCCGGAGGGAGGCGTTAACCACCACCGTTACCCACTCAGCCAATCCCCCTCTGGCCTCCTTCAGAAGCCAGGATGGGCAGGGGTCTAGGATGGACGCAGTGGGCCTCATTCCTCCAAGTATCTTGTCCACATCCTCGGGCTTCACAAATTGAAAAGAATCCATCAAAATAGGACAAGCAGGTGCTCGTGTCACATCCTCAGAGACTGCATTTAACATGGTGTCTAGACCAGAACGGATCAAAGCGACTTTGTCTGCAAAGAACCGAGCAAATGCTTCACAGCATGTGGCCGAATTGTCAGGGCTCCCGCCTGGGATGGCGGGAGTTAAAAGACCTCTGACAATCCGGAACAGCTCCGCCGGACGGTTCCTTGCAGACGCAATAGTAG